TAATTTGACTTGAAATAAACCCCAAAATACTTTTGGGGATGAAAATATTTGAATCAAAGCACTCATGGTTACAAAGGTCATGGTCTCACTTAACCATTGAGTTACTTAACTTACTTGATAATTTGTTTTTATTTTAATATTTGAATGCGTACAATAAGTAATGTAAAAAGGTAATATTTATAAAATTTAAATTTAAGTTATAAGTTTTGAACCATATAATGATAATCTACATATATTAAGTTAGTCAATTTAATCAATTAAGATAATATAAATTTTAAACTATATATTATATTTATTGAGTGTCAAGTTTTTAAAGAACATACTTGTTTTGCTTTGAAGGAGGGATAAGAAAAAGAATAAGTTCCATGAGTAGGCATTAGAACTGACTTTGGAACCACCAAGGCCAGAACTGACTCTGAAATTGACCTTTACAAAATAGATTTCGGTTCCAAAAATCTGGAACCAATCCTTACAAAGTAGATTCTCAGTTTTGCCATGGAATCGAACTGAACTGAATTGACCCGTGCTCACTCTTAAGTATAAGAAATAAGACTTTTGGGCTTTGCTAAAGCCACATCAACTATCTCATCTCAATCTTAAAAGGCAAATGTAGGTGTAAAGTTGTTCTTCTGCGGTTCAAATTTCAAAGCTAGAGCTTGAGAAAGAAAGGATTTAAGCATGGTGGGTTTAATAAAATGTATGATAACGTTTGGAATTGGATTAGATTTTATGGTGGCATTTGTTGAGAGGGCTTTTTTTCTTCCTCCAGGTTTAACTTCCGACCTGGCCTACCCTAAGCTCCGATGAAACCAGCAGACAGCAGTGCTGTGATTTTGAGTGGGAAAAGAATTAAATGGAACATTAATTTGCAATTGTTGCTAGTGTGTGTATATGTAAGTATCAATATAGAGATGCCTTATGAAATCACTAGCTATAATGTCTATAGCTATTTCCTTAATATTTATATATTTGGTGATAAGGATGTCAATTAATTAATTGACTAACTGACCAGCTTTGTTTGATGGCCCTCGATTAATTCCCAGGAGATGTGATGGCATTGAACATCTCCTCGATCTTTAACCCCTTCTTCACTTGATCCTTTAGAGAATTGGTCCAAACGAATCTCTTCTTTCATAAGTGACTTGGCCAAAGTAGTACTTGACCTTGTCAACCTTTGATGAGAGGATCCCAAAATCTCAACAACCAATGATTAGAAACTATCCATGCCAATCTGATCCAACCACGAATGGATTAGTCCAACTACAACAGTGCAGCAGATACCCTTTCACACTTGGTGTCAATTCCACCCGGCACCTCTATAAAGTTGAATTTTCCATTTGATAATGGTTATTAAAATTATTTTACAGTGGCCTTTACTTGGAGTAAAGTTTAGGATTAAAAAGAAAAAAAAAAAAAACTCTATTGATGTCACTCGGATTAGGCCAGCATGTTTACAAAATAACAATTGCACTAAATCATTTCACAGTATAGGTTTGAGAAAATTAGGAGCATGTTAAATAGTAGGGTTGTTCATGGATTGGGCTGGGTCGGTTTATTGATGTTTTTCCAACTGATCTGACCTGTTTGGGTTACCTGAAATTGAAACCAAAACCAACCCTGTGTTAAGAAAAACCGACCTGATCGGTTTGAGTCGGTTTGGGTCGGTTTGGGCTCTACTTAGTGATGACTTAGTTGCTCTACAACCTAACTTTAACTAGGATAGAGACAACTTAGTTAAGTAGGAATTAAGTAGGTTGTAACTACTAACTAGGAAGTAACTACTAAGTCGGTTCGGTTCGGGTCGGTTTTGGTTTTCACACATGAAAACTGAAACCGAACCGAATCATCGGTTTATAATTTTTTATAACCCGAAACCGATCGGTGCTGAAGAACACCGACTGACTCAGGTTGGGTCAGTCCAGGTTGGTTGGTTTGGTTGGGTTGGGTCTTCTTATGAACAGCCCTACCAAATAGACCAAGGTGATGATTTTAAGAACTACATTATAAGCATTATATATTTCACAATAGAATGAATCAATGTTCAAAGAATCAAGCCAGACATAGAATTGAGAAGGGAGTAATTTACCCAAATTTGTAGAGAGTATTACTTCCTTAGGTAAATAAGCCACTCGGGAATCATTCTCTTCTGTGAGACCCACTAATACCAAAAAATGAACACAGATTTATTTCTTTTCCATGGGACCTACCTATTTACTCGCTTCTTCTTCTCGAAAAAGAAATGAGGCCTAAGTGTGAATGAAACCAAATACTAATAAGGCTCAATTTGGGAAGAGTGCAAATACATACAAAATAATACAAAACATATGGTTTTGCACTCTACATATTTGTATTTGTACTCTTTCGAAACTGAGCCTAATCTTTCTTTGCAATGCAATTTGATTTGTATTAGCACAATTGGGGGACATTCAAATTGGTTATTATTATTATTATGAAAATTAATAAAATAAAAAATGGTTTTGATGTTGTACATCTTGAAAATTTTCTTTGAAAAATAATTTCTAAAAAATTGTGATTCTTTAGTAGGCATATAACAGCAAAACACTTTATTGATTTATAAATATATAGATATATAGTGCATAAATGATCATCAGATGAGATTGTATCTGATTCAAGTAGAAACGGATCGGATTTTAATCCGGATGTGGATAGAGGGATACCCGTTTGCAACCCTAAAATGAAGTAGAATAAAATAAAAGTAACCGTACATATATATTACATTACATATAAGTAATTTAGTTTGTGTTTTCTTGTGAAATTTCAGTGGCGGCTAAAGGCGGGTGGTCGTACACTGACTTATTTAAATGACCAGAATATCCTTGTTATCCTCCTCAAATACCTATTATGATCTTATCTTTCAATGCTTTTGCTCTTTTAGACTTTTAGGTAGCTCATCTTTCTCTTTTTACCTTCCCCCTCCACCCGCCCAACACACACAAAAAAACAAAAAAAAAGAAAACGAAAAGAAAAGAATATGAATAGAATATATTTTTCATGAAAATTATTGATGTTTGACGCCCTATATATTTCTAATTTTCATATTGATGCTTTATTTAAGATTTTATTTATTTATATATATATATATATATATTATGTGGATTCCCCATGATTTTTCAAAGCATGGAAACAGATCGGAGAGGTTCTCTCAACTCAAGGCAGAGACAGGAACGACAGCTAATGTTCCGGACTCCCAAATAGTTTAATCGGAACCCAGTTTTATCCATTCATCTCTCTTGATTTCTTGATCGGTTTGATTTGGCTTTAAGAGACAATTAATTAATTGGATGCAATGTATTCAAAGAATGGAGGAGGGGATTCGAGCTTTTATTTAAATGACAATTGAGTTATTAATATTTGGTTCTATTATTTGTTGTCTGGGGGCCCATAAGCCTCTCTTGGATAAGCTGGAAACACCAAGGAAAGGATCAAGGGTAAACTCTCTTGAGGGGTCTTTCCTGCTTCTTCAGCATATGCCTTTTTATTAAAAAAATCAATCATCTTGTAGCAGTTTGTCTGTATTTAATTTAATATGGTTCTAAGGGGAATCATTTGAACTCATCAAACAGACATTTCATTCCAGACATGAGATACCAATGCTGCTCTTTAATTTGCCTGTTCATCTCTCTCTCTCCATCTCTCTCATGCCCATATATTTTTCATATATATTTATAGATATTAATTCACAAACAGTAAAATTCTGAAAATACTATAAAAAATGCTGTTAATTAGTACATATGATTCCCATCCTCATAAGAATTAAGTAATCTGCCCTTGTATATTTAAGTAATTGGGTGATTGCAGTGTGTAATCAACATTCTCATCCTCATCCCCATCTTAAGGATACACATAACTGATTTTCCCAATTTGGGCTTTTCTTAAAAGCTGAAACAACGTTTTCTTGTGGTTTTTTCTATACTCTCTAGAAGAGGACTACCTAAATGCCTTCATTTATTGTATGATCTTATTAGCTTTAATTTAATTCGTTCCTTGAACTTCTTATCAATTAATTTATCACTTTGAATTGTATTCAATTTACAGTTCTATAATGCTAAAAATGAAGGGAGGGGAGACTAGAGGAGGATATGGCTGTTTTGCTAAATGGAATATACAAAAGACTGAGGCACGACATTTTGGGTGTTTCTTTTGTGAAAGAAGCAAGAATCTACCCTTTAATTTTCTGGATACTGTCCAAAATATTTTGTTCTTTCCACGTAATGTTGAAACTTTTCAAAGTGATCATGCTCTACAAAATTTACCCAAAAGGCCAAGGGGAAACGAAGGGACAGAGAGAGAGAGTCATCTTTCCTTTGGAGGGTCTGACACAGAAGAAATTAGAAGAGAAAAGAAGCATCAGAGAGAGAGAGAGAGAGAGAGAGAGAGTGAAGTGTTTTTAATCTTCTGTATATTGTTGAAGTAAACTGGAGAAAGTATTCAGCTTCTTTGTTAATTAACTTCCACGAGTGCAGTTTACTAAATTGGTAAACCTTAACTATGCGTAGGTATTTCTTCTCTCTCAGCCCATTTTCCCTTTTCTTTCCCCATTCCTGTGGTTGGATTCGTATTTGGAATCTAAGGAAAGAACTTGGTTGAAAAAGGACGTTGCTTGAACCCCAATACAAAGCTCTTAGACCCCAATGCAACGCGATAAATGCTGATCGAACGGGCTTTGCACCGACTGAAGCCGAGTTCATCTCTATCACCTTTCTTCAACTATTTTCATATATATATATATATATATATATATATATTTTAAATAAATTAATAAAAGACTTCAAAGTCCTGTTTTTAACTTTTTTTCCCCCTCTCGCATAAAATATCATGGGAGGTGCCCCCACCATTCTGCAATAGACATTAATTCTGAGCCCATTGATTAGACATCTGCATTTCAGATTATTAACCCATCTCCTCATTTTCCAAAATAAAAATTGCGAAATAAAGAGAAAGGTTATTAAAAAAAAAAGAACCTCGAACTCCAATCAACCTCGTGACTGTGACTTTTCTCTTTTTGATCTCCGCTTCTATTAATTCAATTCCCTTTCTCAGCTGCTACTTCATTTTCTCAGCCTCCTGACTCCCCATCAACCTTCTCTCTGCATTTTCATCATCCATTGAAACCTTCTCTCCTGCTGACAATTCAGCTGCGTTCTGGTACAAACCTGTCGTATTTTTCAGAAAGTTTTCTTCTTTCTTTTATTTTTTCCTGGGAATCGCAGTAAGTGGACTTTATCCAGAGCAGATGGGAAGGCACTCTTGCTGTTACAAGCAGAAGTTGAGGAAAGGTCTTTGGTCACCGGAGGAAGATGAGAAGCTCTTGAAGTATATAACCAAGTATGGACATGGGTGTTGGAGTTCTGTCCCTAAACAAGCAGGTATGAGGTATCCTCTTTTGCTTTTTATGAATTAACCCTGCTAAAATGCAGGGTAGACATAATTGGGGAGTCGGGTCTCATGCTTTCTTACTTAATTTGTAGGTTTGCAGAGGTGTGGGAAGAGCTGCAGGTTGAGGTGGATAAACTATTTGAGACCTGATTTGAAGAGAGGCACATTCTCCCAGCAGGAGGAGAAACTGATAATTGAACTTCATGCAGTTCTAGGCAACAGGTAATCACTCTCTCTCTCTCTCTCTCTCTCTCTGCTGGGTATCAGAATCCAAGAATAAAAATACTGTTGAAGAGAGAGACCCAAGGAACTCGTGCATGATGGTGTCTATTTTGTGATGCTTTTCGCTTTGTGGTATCGAAAATTGTGTTAATTTTGAGTGTTTTGTTCATATCAGGTGGTCGCAGATTGCAGGACAATTGCCGGGAAGAACCGATAACGAGATAAAGAATTTCTGGAACTCTTGCATTAAGAAGAAGCTCAGGCAGAGTGGCATTGACCCCAACACTCATAAGCCTCTTTCCGAGGTTGAGAATGAAGAGAAGGCGCCCCCCACCACCACCACCACCACCACCAACAACAACAAAAACACCAATACTACTACCAATAACAACAGCAGTAGCAACAAGAACAAGAACAACAAAAATAATTACAGCATGAGCATTAGCAGCAGCAGCAACAACAGTGACAAAGCCTCTGGGATAAAACCCAATGAACTGAACTTCCTCAAGGCAGAAAATTCTAAGCCGGGGTTAGGGATACCGGAGCCAAAGCCACCTTTAGTTGGTGGCATTCGCTACCCACTAGAAGGTTGTTTGAGCTCCAAGATCAACAACAATCTCAACGACTCGATTACACCCACGCAGACCACCAAGGATTTCTTTCTAGATAGATTCGTAACCTCCCACGAGAGCTCTTCCAGTAGCAGGCCTTCGGATTCTGTGACCTGTTTCCCCCTTCAGCAGTTGAATTATGATGGGTCCAATGCCGGTCTTTCTGCAAACACCAACCCATCTCTCTGGTTCAACCAGAACTACAGGCCTTTCGAGATGAATTCTGAGTTCAATTCCAATACAATTTCAACCGTTCTTCCATCAGCGTCGACCTCGGTTCTCCCTACTCCGGTAGGAATCAGGCCTGCCTTGACGGGATCCTTTAGTATTAACGGAGTGCATTACTGGCAAACCGGTAGCTCCAGTAACAGTAGTAGCAGCAGTAGTGGAAGCAATAGCAGTATTGAGCTCCAAGGCAACAATTCATTCTTTGACAACGCTGTCTTCTCTTGGGGACTGGCAGATTGCAGAGCGTCAGATAAACAAACCCAAATCCACCCCATAGAGGGCGAACCCGAAGACCTCAAATGGTCTGAGTTTCTCCATAACCCACTCCTTATGGCGTCCACTTTACAGAATCAAACCCCCCAACCTATATACAGCGACATTAAATCAGAAGCGCAGTTCATAACCGACGGGCCTAGCACAAGTTGGCAACAAAACCAGCAGCAGCAACAACAATTACAGGCTTCGGATGTATATGCTAAGGATTTCCAGAGACTCGCGGCAGTCTTCGGACAAATTTAGCTTTGCGTTTAACACGTAGTATGTGTCGGCTGAATGGAGGTGGTGGTTGGAGTGCGGTAAAAAAAATTACAGAATTTTCCCAAGTCAAAGAAAGGCTTGAATAAAGGCTTCCTCTTCTGATTAAAGGTGTGTGCCGTAGATTTTTCTCTTGTAAATAGGTCTGATACAAAATAGAAATTTCTCTGCTTCTGATTCTGCTGGTTTTTTGAATATTTGTGAAGAACGTAAGCTCGATCAAGTTGATCTTTTATTGTTGGGTTGGGATAGAATTGCATAATAAGGCTTGTTCCAGTGCTTTTCTTACTCTTTCTTTGCTTCATTTGTTTTGGATTTACGGGAATTAATTGTAACTTCTCTCTCTCTCTATTTGTAAACAATCAATCAAAAGTCTCTTTTCTTTTTTAATTTAGAATTCAATGCTTTTCTGTTCTTTCTTCCGGTTTCAGTTGTATTAATATTATTATTATTATCTATAGGCCGTAGCAATGTTACTGTCTCTAAATTTCTTCAACCCGGCATTTGATATGAAAAATGAAGATGGAAATTGCAATTCAGTGTGTCCCCAATAAAAGTCTCCTTTTCCGGCTGCTAGCTTTCTAAGCTGCCTTTATTATCTATCACTTTCTTTCTTCATCTTTTTTTCCCAAATGAAAATCCATTAACCTGTCATGAATGCTTTTCCATAACAAGATTCAAGGAATCAATTTTTTATTTGTATCCATTTAAATGGCTGTCTTTCAGTGTCCCCCACGGATAGGGATGCTTTTCACTTTTTGACAGTTTCAAGTCGCTTCTCCTACTCTCCTCCTCCTCCTCCTCCTCAAACCTAAGTGGGTTTTGAAGACATGAATTATAGTTGTCTGCCTTTTGTTTACCCACTCTCCCCTCAATCTATCTCTATAGTAAATACCTCAACCCTTCCAATATCTCCATCATTTTTCTTGATTTGGGAGGCTATACTCTAGAAACAAGGGGCTGACCAAAGGCAGCAGAAGTTTCAGAGAATGAAGTAAATGATTCAAAGGCGATGTGTCAAGTCTTTTAGCTTCCTTTCCTTTTAAAGCCGTAGCAATTTTTCTTAGGAGCAACTTTGCAAAGCAAGAAACATCCCATTGAAGTGAAAGTGAGATGAAATTGGTATGTGAAAATGGGTTGGGAGGGACTAGGAATTAGGTTGCTGAGATGACAAGTATTTCATTATTAATCCATGGGTTTCTCTCTCTCTCTCAAGAGTCACAAGTCACAGCCTAATGGAGCGGGATTAATTAGTCGGTGCCTGGACCTGGAATGACATCTCTCGTCCATCATCCATTGATGATACTGATAGCCTGATAGTTGGGAATTGGGATGCCCAATCGAGAGAGAGAGAGAGAGAGGATAAGAGAAAAAGCTTGAGAGTTAAGATGTGAGAAGAGAATGAAATTGAGACTTGAGGAAGGGGAGGGGCAGCTCTCAGTTGAAAACAGAGGGAAGGCCCAGTCTTTTTCTGTGGAAGCATCTGTCCAATTCCATTGACGGATCGTTGTTCCAAAACTTTGATTTCCTGTGAGTTTTTTTTTTTCTTTTTCAATGGAATATAGCTATCTTTGATGTGGTGGGATTGGAAAAGATATTTTGATATTTGACATGACATGCCTGCAGGTGGAGATGGGGTCGGTTGCTATTGATTTTACCTATAACTAAAAAACACAGTAAATCTGTTAAAAAAAAACCAAAGTTTCAGAGAGCCACTTAGGAAAGGAAAGCACTTGATTGAGATGGGAGGAAGAGTAAGGTCGAAACGATACAAGCCGAAGCCATCTTTTCTAATTGCGCCCACCACACAGGAGCCATGTTGGCTTTGGGTGACTAGTCAGAACTCAGAAATTACAATTCAGAAATCAGAAAACAGAAATCAGAGTTCAGACCCCCACCCCTGTCTAGAGACGCACGAGTGCGCTCTCTCCCTCTCTCTCTCTCCTTCCCGGATCCCACGCACCTACCAAGCTATTAGTATTTACCCAATACTTTAATTTGAACTTGAAGGGGACAATCACTGACTCTCTGCCTGGTTTCTTCTGGGAGTCTCAGCTCTCAAGGTCAGATTGATGATTGATCCTAACACACAAATCACCAACACTAAAACTGATTGAAACATATCGAGATGGAAATCTGAACCAACCGTTTGACCCATTATTGGACCCGATACTACATTATCAAACTTACTATGTTATTTTAGCCGACAAAAAAAAATGTTATTTTAGAAGCCAGAAGATGTCAATTCAATCACCCAATTATCTCCCGTCTGGGTTTTAAAATAAACAGAAAGAAAAATAGAGAATATTTTTCCTGCAAAGAATCTCGTATTAATAATACGTTGCGGTCTAAGCCAGTGCAGGAGAACCACATCATTGATATGGATCCTCTTGTGATTATTCTGGTTCCCTTGAAATATATATATATATATATATATATAAAACCAAAAACTATAAATATGCAGTGTAGACGGAGGTTGACTTTAACCCTCAATGGCCTATTGGCTCTTGATTTGGACAAACTTAAAACAATACATGTATTGATATATAGATGATATAGCACAAGCAGTTTGTTGTTGTTTATGTCTCTCCATCTTCTCCATCTTCATTATTAATGCCCCGCCCCACCCATGATAAATAAACAAATAAATAACTAAATATTAATGCCCCGCCACAATTCCATTATTCTATCATACATCTAATCCCATCTTTGTTTCAATTTCAAAACAAATTTACTCTCACAGAGTTTAGTAGGTGTTTGGCATCAGTGCCGTTGCTTCATAGCCATTTTCTGAAAAAACAGTATTGTATAGATGAGGGTCTGTTGCACCATTTTCTTAAAAAATGGTTCTTTTTTTTATTTATTTGGCACCAATGTTGTCATATAGGATGTTTTCTGAAGAATCAACATTGGTTTTGTTTGATACCAATGCTATATAACCATTTTCAGCATTGGTCTACATTATCTAATGCTTCAAATGATGCCACTTGGTGCCACATAATTGTACCGTTGGCAGCAATGGTTCCAAATACGACCAAACACTAAATTTGACCCTGTTTCAAACCACGCCTTCCCAATTTTCAAGGCATGGTCTGGGGTAACATTTTTTATTTGTGAAAAAAAAGAACGAAAACCAAATATCTCGCTGTTTTCTAGGCAACATTTTTTCTGATGTGGCGCCAATATAGCACCATTTTCTGGGACAACGGCATCGATGCCAAACACCGCCCTAAAACATGAATTTTCATGAAAACTCAATAAAGTAGATGAAGCCAACCCAAATCAACCATCATTTATTTGATCACATCCACATGGTATAACCTGAAATTTACCCTCACAACAGTGGATAAAGAAGAGAGTTCTTTTGGGCCCCAAAACAAGTTGCCACCTGGAAAGGTTTCAATGTCGTGCAGGGTCAGCAAAGCTCATTAAACCGAGAGTTTTTTTGGTTTTGTTATGCTCTCATGGGGTTAAGGTTGGATTTGTGTTGCAAAATGTTAAGCTGTCATGGGTCCAGGTTATAGTGTATGTCATCATCAGATTGATATGGCATGAAGATTTCAAGTATTCTTATATTGATTTCAATTGTTATCCTTTTTCCCCCCATTATGTTTATTTATTATATTTGTCATATTTTTATTTTTATTCACCCTACTTTGCCCCACTTGATGCTCCACATGTCCCCAGCCCATTCTAGTTACATGCCACAACTTACAACAATAACAATAATGACGGTGTCTTCCACGTGGCAAATTGACTTGGGGCTGAAATTGGCTCCACAAGTTTGTCTCACTATCCTCTTGTTTCTTTAGCTGTACTATTTCCTCTATTAACCGTCCAAATCTTAAGAAAAAAAAAAAAAGAAAGAAAGAAAAGAAAGCCATTCCAAAGGGTCATAGTGAAAAAGGTGGGTAAATGTTGACTACATGATTAAAAGGTTGCTATCCGGAGGAAGGATATCTACTTGATAAGATAGCATGGATTCATTATCCCATACCTCCATGTGGCAGAAATATGATTGATTAAGAAAACCATTGTTGCTTTTCCCTTAACCCAACCACCACAAATAATAATTCTGATTAGGAGGCTTCATCCCCAATCTACCCTGTTTGTGTTACATTACGTGGACCAATAATTTGGCCAATTAACAACGTTCATTAAACACCCATTCTGTTACACAAGTTAGGGATGTAAATTAAACAATATCCAAACCTCCGATTTTGTATTTCAAAATGTGACATAATAGAATCAAATTTGGATAGTTTGAATATGACAATCAATAGAGCTTCGGATGTGGAATTTATACTGTTTAATTAATCGGAATTGCCTGAATTTGATGATTGAATTTGCCTTTAGGCTATCTTTGGTTTGAAGGAAAAAGTAGGGAATGGTAAGGAAACCTATACAAAGTTTATAAAAGTTTTTTCTACCTTTTCTTATTTTTTTTTTCCTTTAAATCAAACATAACCTTAGGGTTAAGGGCCTTTTATGAATATAAGATGGCTTACCCTTTATTTTTCTCTAATAAAATTATATTATTATAGGTTATTTTTTTTATAAAGGTATAATGATAAACATAAATCATTTAGATATGATTCAGATTTGGATATTCAAATTAATTGGTAGAATTCAAATGCTCAAATATTAGTCAAGTTGAGTTCAAATTCAGTTGGTCCTTCTTAAGGATCCATTGGTATCAAATATAATTTGAATAATCAGTTTCCTAATCAAATTTGACTAACCAGACTCGTTTCAAATTTGCTCCATTTACACCCCAAAGTGACCCAGAAAGGAAATGCTTAATCTCGATACACATAAATTTGTCTATAATTAACACTTAAGACTGGAGAAGAGATGAAAGACTGTGTTAATCTGGACTCTTCTCTACATTATTTACGAGTTCAGCTTCAGTCAGGGCAAAGTCTGTTCATGCAGCCTTTATTGCATTACATTGAGAATATCTCCGTACTTATATGTTTTATTTCATGGGAAGATATTCCCAATGCAAGGTTGCGAAAGGCTGTTAGAACGGTATGAAGGTTTGCCCGGATTGAAGCCGATTGATTGATTCCCAACTGTTCAGGGGTACTTTGTAGTTCGTACTGCCCATGTGTTCATCGTCGTGTCCACATCAATACATTGCTGCCTAGTATATTGGCATTTACCCCATTTGAGGTTTCCAAATTTTCAATTTAAAAGCCCACCACAATAGCTACTTATTTTGGACATTTCATATGGAAACTTTTGTTTTGAGCTCAAAAGATTAAGGACTCTGTGATCATGAAAAT